ATAGAATAGAATAGAATAGAATAGAATAGAATAGAATAGAATAGAATTCTTTATTGGCCAAGTGTGATTGGACACACAAGGAATTTGTCTTGGTGCAAATGCTCTCAGTGTACATAAAAGAAAAGATACATTCGTCAAGAGTCAAGAATCATCAGGTAAAAACATTTAATGATAGCCAGAGGGTACAATAAGAAATTAAATCATACTGGGAAACAGTTAATATAAACCGTAAGGTTACAAGAAACAAAGTTACAGTCCATACAGTCACAAGTGGGAGGGGATGGGTGAGAAGGAGTGGTGAGAAGGTTAATAGTGATAGTAATACAGACTTTGTAATGAGGCGGGAGGTCTATATACAGGGAATGGCAGGAAGGAAAGATGAGGTTGGGTTGCAAATCCAGCTGTTCCTCCATACGCAGATGTGTCCCTTGGGATCTCCCCTTTGCCTGCATGGTGGGTGGGCAAGTAGGATACAGGCTCAGCCTCTGACTCATGCCCTTCATCTTAGGGTATGGAAGGAGTGATGGACGATCCTTGAAGGAGCATCCTTTTCTCATGGCTGCCCTATCCTCGGGCAGCAGACAGGAAGACTTCATACAGCTCAAAGCCTATGGTTAGGTTGTTTCCTTCCTAGCAATTTATAACAGCTTTTAATGTTATTTGACCGTGGCTGCCACTATGGCTGTCAAAAGGACAGAGAAGTGGCTGGATGGCTCAGGAAGAAGCCATTGGTGAGGAAACAGCCTCATCTAATCACTTTTGAGCAATGCTGTTCTCTGATCATCAGAGGTAGTGAAGCTGAGGGCCTTCGGAGGTGGATGAAATGGCAGCGGAGAGGAGGAGGAGGAGGAGGAGGAGGTATCTAGTTGGTCATGAAATGTTCACAACCAAGTTCAGAGAGCATCAAGGACTCCACAGTTCAACCCTGAGCTACAAATATTTTTTTGGCAAACAAAGGACTCTTGGCTGGATAAATATCAACTCAATAGAGAAGGAGGAGGAGGAGGAGGAGGAGGAGGAGGAGAATGTTTAAATATTGGTAGCTTCTCTTCTTGGAGACAAATATGGCCAGCGTAGGATTAGGTTGTGAGCTTAATAAACTCATATCATAGGAGTTTCCCCAATCTTTTAGGAAACTACTTTGATGGTCTGAGCTAGGAGTTAGAAGACTACGTTGGATCTGGAACTACAAAAAAAAAAAAAAAGTTAACAGCCAAATTGTAGGCCTGGGTTTATGTATATGCTGTTGGCCAGTTTAAGCAAACAAATGGATGGATGGATGGATGGATGGATGGATGGATGGATGGATGGATCTGAACTTTGGTTAGGAAGCCATTTTCAAATTAGGTTTATTTATTCAACCAATTTACATGAACGTTCACCTGCCAGAAGGAACTCTGGATGAATTGTAGCTGTCTTTCGTACCTACTTTGTGGCAAACTAAACTTTCCCAGGAATTTCCCAGGCAAAGTTGCCTGGTTAAAATAAACCAGGTTGTCCCTGCTGCTACGGGTTGAGTAAGAAGGGGAGGAGAAATGCCAACTCCACCCAGAGGGGTGTTTTGTAAATTGGGCAACAAAACGCTGGCTGGATCATACAGAATAAGACCACATTATAAGTGGATCATAGGTTATACATTTAAACTAGAATGGCATCCCCTAGAAAACCTATGTTGATCTCAAAACATGATGCAGCCTGAGATCTGATTTGTCTTGGATGAAAGACCATCCAGGTTAGAGTGGAAAGTTCAGAAAAACTTCCTGAACAAATAGTTAGTAGTGGAAATTCTTCCACTTTGTTCCCAAGAAAACTGGACGGCGGAGCCCCATTGGTCACCCACACTAATCAAGGCTCATTTGAAAGAGACTTTAACTTTTAATATGGAATATGGGGGAGACAACAGTGGGTCCCTGAGTGGCAAACCTTTCCTGTCTCCTAGACTGTCAGTCCTCCAGGAGCCAGTGACCAAGCCCTCCTAAATCCATGAGGACTATCAACTTGAAGGTGCAGGTCCTGAGGACAGCGCCAACCAGCCTATATGTGGGCCCAGATTTGCATTATTCCCACCATTATCCTGGCCTAATTTTGCCCTTTGGGGATTCCCCGCCCATTCCTGCCCACCCCTCTTTCCTCCAGTTGTCCCTCGTCTCTATTCCCCCCATTCACGATTCAAGAAACGATCTAAAATGGCAACAGATAACACGAAAGTTTATTGGCATAGGCTTTTCTTGCCAACCAAATCCTTTTGAAAATAGGTGTTTATTTTATTGCTTTTAAAGGTAAAAGACACAGGTCAACTCATATACCAAAAAAAAAGGCCTCTTTTTAGAGCAAGAATAAGATATTGCTTTTTATGGAAGGTTAAGGTTTTAAAAAAAAAAAAAAAATTAAAAAGAGCACGGCTTGCTATTATTGTAAAGCTACCCTCCGGATCGCAAATCCATTCATGTGGTCAGTGGTTTAATTGATGGCTAGAATAAGGGCCCTAAGCCAGGAGGGTTATAATAAGGAGCAGAGCCAGTTTTTGAAAGAAAAAAAAAGGCACTGGAACAGATGTTTTCTCTCTAAAGCAAAGGCACATCGTTGATCCGGATTGCAAATCAAAAGCTGGAGGTTTGGGGGAGAGAAACGGTGTGGAAAGTTCACTCCCAGGAGTCCCAAATTCGGCTTCTGCAGAAAAGAACGCTCTACGTTCCGATTTTGTACTATAAAATCGGGACTTCTGCCACGCCTGGAACAGGTTTCCATTGCAAACAAACCGCCCTCCTTTTCAGAGCCATAGCATTAAAGCGCTATTTTTTAAAAAAAAAAAAATTTCCAGAGGTCATCCAGTCGGGCCCAAATGCCAGAGGCCGCAGGAATGGCGCAGCAAATAATAAAAATAATAATAATAATATCAATGCATAGACAGGAGGGTGAAATATGGGGGAAAGCTGTAGTTACCCCAAACGCCCTGGAGAATTTGGAATCGTTCTTCTACTGTTTACTGGTTTACTTGGGGAAACTGTCCTCCCCCGTGGGATCCACTTCCGAACCGCCTTTTCAACCCAGGATCGCGTGATTTAAGCGGGTTTACTGTACTCGGAAGTTCCGAGGCAAATGGGCAACTTACAATGCCGGAAATTCTCGGGTGGTTAAAAGCCCGAAATCTCGAATCGGTTGATTTGGCGGCGCGATCCGCAAAGCCATTGAGCCGCCTTGGATCGCCTCCTTCTTGCCCAAGCCGAATCACGGCGAAATTCAGGGGCCGAACGGACGGCGGGTGAAGTCCTGAAGATCAAGAAAAGAAAAGTAAAACTTGGCAAGTGACGGGTCGGGCTTGCACGTGGGAACCCCGCTCTTCCAGCGGGGAGACTGACCTTCGCTAGACGGGGTGCGTCTTTCGGGGCTGAGCCAAGGGGGCGGCCGGAGCTGCAGCGCTCTAGAAGTGGAAAACCGTCTCCGGGAAGCGGAGGGGCAGGTAGGACAGGAAAGGGATGCCCAGCTGGTAGAACCGGTCGGGGAAGTGGGAATCCAGCACCAACGAGGCGTTGAAAGCCGGGCGCGCTTCGCTGCTCTCGCCAGGCCCGCCGCTGCCCACCAGCTGGTCCAGTTTGGAGCCGGCCGCGCTGGGCTCGCCTTTGGCCGGCGCCGCCAGGACCTTCCGCGCCAGGATGCTCTCGATGCTGAAGCTGCGAGGCTTGGCTGAGCCCCTCGGGGGTCGGAGAGGGTCGGCCCGGCTGGCAGCCGGCGCAGCAGCAGCCCGCGGGGGCGCCTCGGGGCTTTGGAGAAGCCTGGCGGCCGAAGGCGCCCAGAAGCGCGCGGCGGCGGGACCCTCTCCAAGGCGGGGCGCACGATCCTCGGGGCGCGGCGGGGAGAAGCCAACGGGGGACCCCCGGAGGGGCGGCTCGGCCGGGCCCGGCTTGGAAGCTCGCTCTCCCGCCGCCGGAGCCTCCAACCGGCTCCGCGCGTTCTCTTCTTCCTCCTCCTCCTCCTCCTCCTCTTCCTCCTCCTCCTCCTCCTCTTGCTCCCGGCGGCCGGGACTCGGCTTCGGCTCCTCCTTTGCGCCGGGCTGGAGGAGGAGGAGGCGTGGGCGCTGCTGCTGGCCGCTGGCGGGGTTGGAGAGGCGCCTTTTGGGGGCTTCTTCGGGGGCGCCCTCCCGGTCGAGCCCGGCCTCGTCCGCTGCCTGCGGCCCGCCGCGGGTTTTCCTCTTCCTCCGCCGGTAGTTGCCGTGCTCGAACATGTCGGTGCAGCGGGGATCCAGCGTCCAGTAGCTGCCCTTGCCCGGGTGGCCCTTCTCGCGGGGCACCTTGACGAAGCACTCGTTGAGCGAGAGGTTGTGGCGGATGGAGTTCTGCCAGCCCTGCTTGTTGTCGTGGTAGAAGGGGAAGCGCTCCATGATGAACTGGTAGATGCCGTTGAGCGTCACTTTCTGCTCCGGCGCCTGCTGGATGGCCATGGCGATCAGCGCGATGTAGCTGTAGGGCGGCTTCTGCGGGGATTCCTGCCTGGGCAGCACCCCCGCCGCCGCCGCCGGGCCGAAGCCCAGCGCGCCCGACAGGGCTCCCCGCTCGACCCCGTAGAGGTAAACCATCGGGCCGGGCAGCTGGCCGGGGTAGATCTGGCTCATGGCAGAGCCGGAGTCAGGCCGGCGCGCGGGAGCGAGGTCCAAGGCCTGGCCGGAGCTGCTGCCGGAGCTGGGCTCGCTGGCGACAGCGCGCGTCCTGGCCTCTGGCTCGCCTGCTCTCCTTCTGCCCCAGCTGCATAGCGCGCGTTTCCCCCCCACCCCACCCCAGAAGTGGGAAGAGAAGAAAAAAAAAAACCGAAGAGGAGGAAGAAGAAGAGGAGGAGGAGGAAGGAGGAGGAGAGGGGAAGGCAATGTGCGATGCTTGTTGTAAGTTTGCGATGCTGTGTTGACTTAGGGCTGGAAAAGAAACGGGCTGCGATAAACAGCCGCGGAGCGCGCCGCAGCCCACCCACAGCAATTAACGTTTCCCTGCGAAGGCTGCAGCCCTTCCACGTGGCTCGGCTCGGAGCGACCCGGGAGGGGGGGCTCCCCCCCCCCGCTTGCGCCCCTTCATTTGTTTATAGCATTAGTCTGTTGATAAGTCTGACCACCCAAGTCGAATCAAGCTGTGTTTATTTGGAAAAATTTCCGGGCACCCAATATATAAACGCACCGATCTGATGTTTGAAAATCTCACGTCCAACCCGCCTCCTCGGCCGGGCCCTCCCCCCCTCCTCCCCCGACCCTTCCGCGCGCACCGCCCACCGGCTGGGTCCTTCCAGCGCCCCGCCGCCCTGGGAGGCTGGAAGGGAGTCATAGGCGCAGCTGAGGGCGGGGAGGACGCTTCCTTCCTTCCCTCTCTCCATTCATCTTCCTCTCTTGTCTTTCTTTCCTCCTTCCCTCCCTTCCCATTTCCTTCCTCCCTCTCTCCCTTCTTCCCTTCATCCATCCTCCTCTTTCCCCTTCCTTCCTCCTTCCCTGTCTCCATTCATCTTCCTTTCTTTTCTCTTCCTTCCTTCCTCCTTCCCTCCCTTCCCATTTCCTTCCTCCATCTCTCCCTCCTTCCCTCCATCCATTCTCCTCTTTCCCCTTCCTTCCTCCTTCCCTCCCCTGCCTTCTTCCTTCCTTCCTTCCCTCTCTCCATTCATCTTCCTCTCTTTTCCTCCCTCCCTCCCTTCCCATTTCCTTCCTCCATCTCTCCCTCCTTACCTCCATCCATTCTCCTCTTTCCCCTTCCTTCCTCCTTCCCTCCCCTGCCTCCTTCCTTCCTTCCTCTCAGCCAGAAAGTTTTCTTCTTTCTATCCACCACCCTGATGGCAAAGGGCAGGAGAGGCTGGTACCTTAAGCCAAACCCCTTGAAGATAACCACGACAATCTCTGAATCTTCCATTCAAAATACCTCTCAACCCAGCAGCCCCGCACTTTCTGAAAAGCCTTCTCTTGTCATCCCTCCCAAAGGAATACCTGTCTCGGGACCAGGTGCTTCCATTCCACATCAGGCCGCCGTGGTGCCTTCTTCAGCCATCTGTCTTGACCAGTGGAAGTCCTCGTGGGTGCCAAGGTCCACAGCTGTATCCCAAGGATGACCAGTTTCCTTGCTTGGAAGGAATTTTTTTCTTCACCTTCCCTAAAGTCTCAGTCCCTTCATTTCAGGGAATGGTGGCTAGATCCAGTCTTTAAAAGCTGGCAGGGGTGCGTGTGAATCATCCCCTCTTCCATTTTCCCTTCCCTTCCCTGACCAGGTTAAACTGGGTTAATTGCTAACACATCTCGCTTATGGAATTAGCATTTGGATGGATGACTTTATCTGGAATGAAATTGCAACGGGCTTATTCCGATGTAGCTTTTGGTCATTTGCTTGTTTGTCATCTCCCCAGTGCTTGCAGTTAGTTAATTACTTAGTTAGCTTTGTTTATTTCTACCAGATGTTTTCACTGGTACCCAACCTCAATGGTGTTAGCGCTCATACACACAAAGGCCTTTTCCAGTTCCAAGCAAGTCCGTGTCCACTTTTCCTCTTCCAACAACTTTGCTTCTAAACTACCCTTTGGGGCATTCTCATTCTTGGGCCTGCTTTAGGTCAGCTGCTGCCGACATGCAACTTCTCTTGGTGAGCATTGCATGTGGCCAAAATGGATGGAGGAATGGATGGATGGGTAGGTAGATAGATAGATGATAGATAGATAGATAGATAGATAGATAGATAGATAGATAGATAGATAGATAGATAGATAGATGATAGATAGACAGACAGACAGACAGACAGATAGATGATAGATAGATAGATAGATAGATAGATAGATAGATAGATAGATAGATAGATAGATAGATAGATAGATAGATATAGGGAGATAGATAAATGGTGGGTGGGTGGGTGGATGGATGGATGGATGGATGGATGGATGGATGGATGGATGGATGGATGGATAGATAGAGATGAGAGAGAGAGAGAGAAGAGAGAGGTAGACAGACAGAGATGATAGATAGATAGATAGATAGATAGATAGATAGATAGATAGATAGAT